TTATAATAGAGAACTCAAAAAATAACAGTTAAAAAACGAAGAAGTACAAAAAATAGTCCTTGGTACCTAATAATTCAATTCCCCTCATAGTTTTGCGGCACCTGTGAGTTGATATTCAAGTATTTCGGGTAATAATTTAATCGAAATGCTATTAATACAAATTGTATCTGAATTTTTTTAGAGGTTTAGCTACATATGAATTATATCTTTGGACAAACAATAAATAAGAAATGAAACGGTGTACCTAAGTCTACTGTCAGTCGGTACCTAACTCTAAGAATGTATTAGTAGAATTCTCAAGCCAACATAGTTGCAAAAAATCGTATTTAAAAATATTGAAAAATATTACTACATTCAAGTTTATACTCTGAAAGGATTCTTAAAATATTTTGCACATATTTTATATATAAACATTTTATAAACAAAAAAAAAAAAAAATATTTTTTTTTAGTTTGTAAAAAATAGATTCCTTTCGGGCTATTAAATATATTTAAAGCGTGCAAAAAAACCATTCGCAAACATATTTGCATTAATTTTTATTTGTATAATTTACATGTTTGGGTCCTAAATTTTTTTCTCATGGGTCTAATAAGGACACATATTAAAAATACTTTAAAGCATTTGCCGCGGAAACTTTTTTATCCTTTTTTATCTAAAGTATCCAATGCTTCAACAAAGCTTTAGAGTATGTACACAGAATAAAATATCGGAACTTTATTTTAAATTGACATGTTTTCCTCGTTCTTAATTTTTTAATTGTCTAATTCTGTCGTTGTTTAAAACCTATGTTTACAAATTTGATTAAATTTTTAATTGATTCAATTAATTTTTTAGTTGATTGAAAAAATTTCTGGCCGAGTTTTCCTTTTTAGTTTTTTTTTTTAAATATTTCATTTTGATTTCTTTGCTATAAATGTTTGTAATTCTTAAATAGTAAATAAGATTTTTGGCATATAATCAAGTTTCTTGACAATTTATAAAACACTATACATATGTTAAAATGTGATAATAAAGTGATATTTTTTGTAAATACTCAACGCATTGTTAAAGGTCAAGTATTCTTTTAATATTGTAAGTAATCAATTAATAATTTGATTGTTTAAATCATTAACTTAATTGATTTTTAATACATTTTCTACCAAACAGTTTAATTCATAATTAATAAAAATAAAATATTTTATTTTTATTAAATATTTAATTTATACAATTAATGAAATAATCAATTTTAAATTTTGTCTCAATTATTGATATTACTTGTTCTGATTAATTATTGAAAAAGAAAAAGTATTTTTTAATTTTTTTTTACAAATTTGATAATTGATATCATCAATTACACGGTGTGACAAAATTACAAAAAATCAATACACTCATCGCGAGACCTAGTGAAGTTGGTAGGTCTAGTAGAGTAGATTACAGTACCATTTTTAAAATCTTCAATATACCCTAAAAATCGGAAGATATTGAAAAAAAAAACGTTTTTTGTTGACTAGACAGACCAAAAAAAATATATATATCTCTAAATTTTCTTAACCGATTTAATATTTTTCAACAGTTTTGAAAAGAGTTTCCTTTGTCTTTTTTAAAAAGTATACACACTTTTATATCTTTTACGAAAATGTGTAAAATATTTATATCTAAATACAAATTTTTATATTTTTTTTATTTTTTTACAATTCAAGATGATTTTTGACCCACACTTTATTTGAAAATATATTTTTTAAATATTTTTTTATTTAAGTCCATATTTATACTTTGAAAGGTTTCAGATAAAAACTGACAGAAATAGAATTTTTTTCGTAAAAACAAAAATTTACGAAATCTCTCTTTGCTGAAGTAAAATATCAACGTTAGATATGCAACACAAATATAAGTTTTATTATTCAAATTGATAATAACATTGCGTAACATTGTTTCTTAACGTGTATTTCGCATGTGTTTACTACACAAATGTCAAAACAGAACTGACATTAGGGGCAATCGCAAAATTTATAGCATTTTCTGATAGGAGGATTACTTTTGCGCCACCTTGTATATATATTTTTTAAATTTTTTTCATATGTATATATTTTTTTTAATTTATAAGAGTTTACTGCTATAAAATTTTAATTTATTTAATTTTTTTAATTCTATATAATATTAAATTATTTACTACTGTAATTTTGGCAATAACAAGTAAAAGGTCTATATTCGGCTGTGCCGAATCTTATATACTATTCACCATTGTGATATCTTACTATTAGCTGCCCCCATCATAGGTTTTTTGTCAAACTAAGAATACAAAGCACCTGAATTCTATATTTATCATATCGGAGAAATATACAGGAATAAGATAGTCTCCTACTTTTTAACAGTCTAACCCCCATTTTCTCAATGTCTTCATACAAAAATTATTTTAACCGGCAGAATATCTACCGGTTAAACGATAACCGGAGAATGAGAATGTGGCCCTAATTCTGATAAATATTTAACTGAACATTTTAAAATTTAAAAGAAACAAATTAGAATCTCCTGTATTTAAAAATTTCTGTGTTGTTTCTAGATAACGTGTGAGTAGTTTGAGTTAAAATTTTACTTGTATTTTGTTTTTGTTACAATAACAAAATACAAGTAAAATTTGTGCTCAAACTGCTCGATCGGTATTTAGAAACAGCACATTCATTACAAAAAATTTTTTAACAAATAAATTTTTTTCCATTTTAAAATACAGTAAAACTTTGTCGGAAAAATAGCAAACTGTGAAATTTTAAATTGCTAAATACATGTTTGCTCAGGGCTTCGTCTTGAGATCTCTATTATGTTACTAAAAATCACCATTGATTACGTGTGCGCTAAGCGAGATGTTGTAGGTCATAGATTATTATGCATCTTACGTGTTTATATGTTATTATAATTTTTATAAAGAATCAAATTTCCTATACATATGTATGTGTGTATCTTTGGAGTTTCAAATTCGAAATAAAGAGAATAAAGACGCCAAAGAAAAAACGTTCACAAGGATCCAGATTGAATCGTTCGAGGAAAGCTGCCCTCTGCGAGAGCGGAGATCTGCCCAGCAGAACCCCTGGGTAACAGAGGAGATCCGGAATCTTGGGAAGACTCTTTGCAAACTATTTAACTGGACACGGCGTAAAAAGACTGCAGTATACTAGAATGAGTATCCTAGTAGACTTCATGAATATAAGAAAATCGATCGAAAAGACAAACGAGACCCCTGGAAACTTTTCTGTGAACAAAACTCATATCCAAGCGGAATCTATGGCGGATATGGAGGAGACAATGAAACTCCTAATGAACTCTTATTTCCCACATGGTATATCGAGTATCATAGATGAACCGATATTGGTGGAAGGAGAGGCTAACACAGAACTAGTTATTACATCTGGTATAGTTATGGAGGCAATCTAGAGCCTTGTACCCTATAAAGCTGTAGGACGATAACATTTCCCGGAACTTTTGCAGATGCAAGCGGGTCTAGTTTCCCTACATCGAAGGCGCCTATAATAACGTGCACACTGACACTCTTATCTTATTCTTCATCCAGCTTTATGTTGACCGGGTGCTCTGTAACTGGATGAACTATTTGCTAAGGAATTTAGTCACCTTTACCTTGGGTTAACGTCATAATACTTTTAAGGGGAAAGGATCTAAATTGCTTGTGTAGAAGAGCTGAAGAATACCGGAAATTAAAATGGAGGCATCATACATACATATATACGATAGGATCAACAAGGCGTTATGAAGGAGAACCATTACTATGACACTTTGGCTTTATAAAATTGTAATTAGACCAATTCTATCTTGTATTCCAATCCATCTTTTGATAAAGTTAAATCTAAGACCGTATTGGATTGTAAAAAAGGCTCTATCCGAATACCCTCCCACAGGTAAGGTTTACATCATATGGGTACCAGTTCACTCGAGAGTAGTCGGCAACGTAAAAGCGAATGTAATAGCTTTAAAGCGAAGGGAGCAAGAGGTAATTAACCTCTAGCAACGAGGGCAGAATATAGGTGGGAGAAACCCATAAGGCCTCTTGGAATAATGAAACGTTGGGTAAAATCACATAGATCCTATGGGGTGATCTTAACGAGAAGCCTCCTCAAAAAGAGCAAGTCATAGATTACTATGATAGTACGTCCAAAAAAAAAAACTATACAAAATTGGAAGTAAGGATTCAGACGAATGTAGAGCATGTAGAGAGGACAGTGGAACTCAGGAGCACTTTCATTGCCATTGTGAAACTTTCGCCGAAATTAGATCCAAATATCTTGGGAGTGATATTATTCCAGATAAAACATCCCTAACGATCGTTGAATGGAAAATTCTTAAAATTACGTCCAGGACGAAAATTACGATCAGATGATAATAAATTCAGTGAATACTATATAAGACTTTTGTTTTTACCAACAAACATAGGCCCGATAGTGGCCTAGTTGTATATCTTCGGATTTGATGTAGATACATTCTCCTATCAACCTAACCTATCTTGGATTAAGATATTTTCTGTGTATCATATCGACCTATAGTGTAATACATTTTTTAATGATATTTACAAGTTTCAACATTTGTAACACTAACGAAAATTTCGTGTTAATTTGCCTTTCATTAGCTGTGCTGTCTAAGAATCTCTCTCTCAATTTTTGGATATAAACTACAAATGTATAACCTTTGACTTTTAATATCTAGCTAAGCGCACACGATATTTATGATGACTTTAAACCATATTTTAATAATGAAGGAAAAGATATATGCCAATTTTCATCTAGCTATCGAAATTTCTATAGAAAAACAACTATTTCCTTGTTATAAAATGTTAACATAAATATTTGAAGCTCCTTGCAACCTTTTTTAAAGATTATGATTGCTGACATTTTTTGTACATGTGTGTGACGCACTAATTAGTATGTTCTTTATGGATTTGTTAAAATAAAATTTATACTGCAGTTGGAAAATGCCAATATATACAATATGAGCTTGTTTTATTTTATATAATTACTTACAGACACATGTTGGCAGTTCCTTTGGGGTCCAGGATCCATCCGATTGACATGTACGTTCATGTTTTCCAACTAACTCATATCCAGTGCCACAATTGTACGTGATTTTACAACCATAGGTATAACATTCTCCCGAATGCCAACCGTTAGCCGGGTCGGGAGGCTGGCCACAAGAACGAGCTGTAAAAAATATGCGATATTGGCTTGGATGGTTAAGAGTAACGTATATCAATTACAAAACATACGTTCGCATTGTATATCGGGACCATACCAACTCGCCTGACCATCAATTGCTAGACATTTGGCACGTGGAAAACCATTTGTTACGTAGCCAGTGTGACAATGGTATTGTACGGTTGAATCAAGATCAAATGTCTCCTGTTCAGGGAGTGCCGAATTGCGGGCATGTTCAATTTGTGGTGGTTTCAAACAATATACTAAACACGAATAAATAAATATTATTATTAATAATGCGGAAATAGTAAGAAACTGCTGTATTTAAGTATAGGGACCTAAATTTTTTAAACAGTCGCCCAAAGCCAAAACGGAATAATTTAATAAAATTAGTTTAATGACAAAAGAAAAATTAATTTAGTTCTATTGCTAATACCTTAATAAATATACTAATGAAAATCGAATAATGTTTTTTTTTTTTTAATTTTTCAATCTCATAAGATTTTTTTGTTTAATATATTTTATTTAATTATGTACCTATTCGGAATTGTCTTGGCGTGACTGTTTTAAGAAACGTTAATTATTTTTTGAATAATTCAAATATATAAATAAAAAAATATTTAAAACAAAATTTCCTTTGGAAATAATTTATTACAGATAGATTTTGTAAATGAAAATCAAAATAAGCATTGTCAGCGTTTTTACTGCAAGCTTCGAGACAAAATAAGTTAATTGTGTGTATACGTACTATTTTGTTTGCAGGCTGGCTCCGCACCCGCCCAGTTACCATCTGCTTGACATAGACGGCTTTGAAGTCCCACCACATGATAACCATGGGGACAGGAATAAGACGCCCGGGCACCAAAATGTTTACCTCCAACTGTAACTTGACCCAATGTTGGCTGAGCAAGTTCTGGACATTCTCTGTCTGCAGATACGTGAAAATATAGAATTTAATTACATAATTTTGTAGATCAACTAAATGCTATACTTACCTGGTTTAATGCATGACATGCCACATACTCCATCGCATAAGCATTTCTTTTTCTTGCTTTTACAATCTTCATCGGATGAGCATTTCCTTAAACATTTCTGTCCAAGTAAAGTAGCCTGCTCTTCATCCCGTGGACAATCGGACGATGGTGAATTACGCGGATTTTTGTAAACGCGGCCGTCATCATCAGCTTCAGATGATTCATCATCATCATCCCAATCATCGTCTTCATCATCCTGCGGAATTTCCGTTGGGGTAACTGGAACAGATAAAACTAAAAATACGCAAAAAAGTCATATAAATAAATTTTGAGATATGTACAAGTTATAAAAGAAATATATGTATGTATATGTAAGATCATCAAGTGAAATTAAAATAAATAATAATTTTACTCTTTGCTGTGGCGAATAATCATACATCTTGGTGTACATATTTTAAAAATGTTGGTATGTATGTATGTATGTATGTATGTATGTATGTATGTATGTATGTATGTATGTATGTATGTATGTATGTATGTATGTATGTATGTATGTATGTATGTGTGTGTGTATGTATGTATGTGTATGTATGTGTGTATGTATGTATGTATGTATGTAGAAGTAGGAAGAATTCTTGAAAATATGGGAATACATTGCTAAATTATAAAGTCAATATGGCTTCTCCGGAAATCAGTGCCAAACTCCTTTATAAAACCTAAGGAAAATTCTGGGAAGATGGTGAAATTACTGATTCGCTGAAGCAAGGAGTAATTATGAACGTGACAAAAACGTAGATAGGACCAAGGGTAAAAACTGGCGCGGTATTACATTGATAAACATGATGAAGAAAGTAATTGGTCAGATAGATAATCAAAAAAGTCTAATTTGAGCATTTATCTAGTTTTACGAAATGAACAAGATGGTTTCCGTCCACAAAGATCCTGTATAGACAATGTAAACAGCCTACGAATTGTAATTGAACAATCTATAGAATGGCGTTCTCCATTATACTTGCATTTTACAGATTTCGAAAAAGCCTTTGATACTTTATCGCACACCGCAATATGGGATGCATTAGCTTGTAAAGGAACCCTGGAGTAGATTATTAATAATATAAAGACACTGTATGCGAACGCAAATTGCCGTATTCTACACGATTGACGTGTCAGCCTCACAATCGATGTCAAAGCCGGCGTTAGACAAGGATGCGTTTTCTCTCCAATGCTTTTCAAGATTGTATTAGATGGATGTTACGTGCTCTATTCACTGCCAGAGGCTTAAACAGGCGTCTGGAAGATTTTGAATATGCAGATGACATCTGCCTCCTCGTAAATAGTTATGATGACATGCAGGATAAATTCCGCCAATCAAATCTTTGGATGTCTCAACCACGTATGACGTTTAACATTTATATCTCTGATGTCCAAGATGAATATATTCAACTCATGTATAAAATCGAGCGTTTAAATATGTAGCAATAGCACAAGATTTCTTTTGTACGACTATGCAATAAATATAAAACTTTCAAAATTTTCCATCACTTTACTACTAGAAATATTTGTTCTGTTTGCAATTTCTTTTAGCAGACGCAAAATAGTTCTAAACATATTTTGATTGTTTTAGCAGCTCACGCACACAACAGATGAACTACTATTGCCATAGAAAAATAAATTGTGTTGGTTCTACTACTGCCGGTAGCAAAATGAGCAACTGTCAGTTGCAATTTATCGTATTTTTTAGAATATGGCGACTCCTTATATTTTATATTCTTTGTGATTTGCTGTGCTTTTTTACTTTGTTTGTTTTTTTAATAACCAGAAATTAACCCAATGTTTTCACGCTTCTCTTTGGTATGTTGTATTGTATTTGTTATTCTAGAATGTTGAAAAATTTTCCGTTGTTGTAACAGTTCGACTGCGGCCGATAGTTCATTCCTGGGGAAAAACTTTCGGTTGATACAGCTGTCGCTGGATTGACAATCTTTGGCCGAGTATGAATTGGGTCGTTTCGATCCGATTCCGTTCCCAATTGTCGTGGGAACGACAATTGGATCTTCGACCTTACCAATTGGATCTTCGACCTTTTCCGTTATTGTGTTTGCTGTCTATTTTTGATAAACAAATTGTTTTTAGGGATATATAACGTTTTAGTGGTTTTGTAAGATGATTTTATGTATGTATGTATGTATGTATGTATGTATGTATGTATGTATGTATGTATGTATGTATGTATGTATGTATGTATGTATGTATGTATGTATGTATGTATGTATGTATGTATGTATGTATGTATGTATGTATGTATGTATTATATAATACTGTTTACTAACAAGTTTTTACACTGTATACATTGCATAAAAAATACGTTCAAAAAGTAGTGCCAATAAGTGTTTAAAAAATAAATTGCAACTGGCAGTTGCTCATTTTGCTACTGGCAGTAGCAGAACCAAAACAACATACTGCAGCTAGGAAAAAATTAGCAACACAACCATGGCCTGTGTGCGTTGCTATGGCAAAAAATATATTTCCATTGCTGTATAACAGGTAGAAAACGAATACTGTGAATGTGTGCTGCTAGAAATTTCAAAGTAAATGTGTAATATTTTTAGTATTATATTAATAGAAATATGTATTTTACTGCAAGTGGTTAGTAATATATTAGTAAATTTGAACGCTGATAGAAAAATCAGCTACACAAAATAAAAGTTGGAATCAAACTAAAGTACTGGCAGCGGTCATTCTAAATGAAATAAATTTTTAATGGCCCTATAACCCTTTCAGTATCGAAAGGAATTAATAATATAATAATCCCAATCCACTTGCATGACATCTCACGTGGTGCCTATCCACAACAAGGTTTCGTAAAGCCGATCTACTACCCCTCTAAAACGAGGACCATTTGCTTAGTTTGGTTCTCAACAGAAAAAATCTATTATAAATAAAACGTTTAATAAAAAAAAAAATTTTTTTATAATATTTTTTTAAACTATACATAATTTATTTATTTTTTTAATTAATTTATTTTTATTATTATAGCTTCCATCGCTAAATATTGTTGTTGTATTTAGTTTGTGTATACACTCAGACCTTGTTTTATGTGATTAATTCGTTTCACAAAAAATCATATAATCCAAATTCACATAATACGATACACTAACTCCATACAAAATATACTAAATGGGTTTTTTATCGCATAAGTTCAAATTAAATCCTTAAAAGTAAAAAACAAATCGCATATTAAAATTAACAAAAATTAAATTTTTAATTGGGACCATACAAAATGAAGAAAGAGGGAGAAAACCTACAACAAAATAATACGAATTCCATATATAAAATTTTTTAAGACTTTTTAAAATTATTTTTGCAAGGAAAAATCTGTGAACCGCATAAAACTAGGTACATGTTAACGGTTTTAATCAAGGATGAATGATTTGTATGCTGTAAAAACGGCAGAAATAAATTTTTCATGTACATATACGTCCAATTAAACTTTATAACATGCACTGGTCGAAATAAACTCAGAATAACTATATATCTAACGTCCCTTGTTTTAAACATTGACAAACACACAATTTGTGTGACACAAATACATGTTTTTGCTCATATCAACCCAACATTTATGGATGAAATTCTTGATTTGGGAAAAATTTTAAAGAAAATAATTAAAAAAAATCATGTTTTTAACTTTTAAAATACATATGTACATATGAATATGATTTGATTGATTTGAAATTTATTGCACATGTATATTCATAATTTTGTCCTAATGAATACTTATAGAAAGTTGAACTTGTCTGCCAGAATTGCTTCTACTTGTTCTATGGGAACGACTTACTGTGATATGGTCGGGTTTTTAAATAATCTGCATTGGTCTAACTTGCGAAAATAAAAAATAATAACTAAAATAAAATTACATTATCAAAGCTTTAATATACGATTTATTGATGTTCTTTAATGGAACATCTTGCTAACATTGACCCATTTATTATTTGTAGTTTTTACTTCATTTTACTTTCAAAGATGCCTTCTGATTGTTTTTGCACGACAGTTTCCCATAATCTTATTTTCTTGCATCTGATTTCAAAATATTGTTTTTTTTTATATTTAAACATGCGCAGATGATGTTTGCTTATATAACAATGTATACAAAATTTTCATTGAAAATAAAAAAATGCGAAAAATTTTAATTTGTTTAACAACAAGATTAAGGCACTAAATATTAACTTCTTGAATATAAAATTAACTGAACAAATTGTTAAAATGTTCTTTTGATTATTATGCAGCATTGAATTTGTCTTACCTTTGTAACACAATATAGTTACAATCAGAATATGCAGCAAATAGCGATTCATATTGTTTTTCTTGTTTTTTATATTATTAAATTTATTTATTTTTCTATATTTTTTTAGATTATGGTTAATTTTCCATTTTCAATTGGTACTTATTATAAAATTAAATACTTATTAAAGTATTATTAATTTTATTTTTTGTTTTGTATTTAAATAGAAGAGCAGTAATTACGTACCAACTGCACAGATTGAATGAAAACTAAGAAATGCAGCGCATATGTGTCAAAGTTTAAAACATCCTATTTAACAGGACTCAGAGTGCATGTGATTAGAAGAAGCATTTAAGCAATCCCATGCCAGTGTTGCCATGGCGGCAATATTATTATTTTTTTGCGACTTGTACCAACTTTATATTAGGGTGTTTCTCTTTACACTTTTTAGCAAATGGAAATAGTTGGAAGTTATACTATTTACCCAAACATACCTTACCCTCATTTTCACAACCCTGCCAGCAAATTTGTAGTCGACTCAAAGTGTCAGATTTTGCAATTTTAGGGGGACTAAACTCTGAATTTTGATATTATTAAGCATAAAGCTATGAAAACGTCAATAGGCTATAACACTTTTTTATCTTGGACCAGAAAGGCACAAAAAGGGGGAAAACGGGTAAAATTAGTACTTTCGTATATAATGTTAATTTTTTATTCTAACGTGGAAATATTTGTGTTTTATCTCTCAAAACTTTTAAATATATGTCTTAGTAAAGTACTTTTGCTACTGCCAACCTTTCGGGGTGTAAATACTGGCAAAATAGGGCATTCTACATTAATTTGTAAAAAATATATTTATAAAGTGAAAATTTTAAATATGAGTGAAAAATGATCTAAAATAATATCAATTAAATATTAATCTTTAGAATAATTTAAAACACACGGGTAAAAACTGGAAAATATTTGTAGTTTTGGTACTTTTTGCACCTTTTGTGCATGGGTCAGAAAGGGGCAAACTGGTAAAAATTGGTACTTTTTGCTCATAAACAATAAATATATTTTTTATAGAGTAAAATTTGTTGCTTTTCTAATATTGTAGTGGTTTTCGAGTTCATGCTGAACTTTGTTTGCGAGTTCATGCTGAACTTTTAAAAAAATGTGTATGCGGTGTACAAATAGGTGCAAAAAATATTTTATAATCCAAATAAATTATATATCATTTTATAATATGGGTACAACCCAACCCCAGAAACAAATGTCTCACTTTTTAAATATACTTACAATTAACGGTTAACTTTAAAAGACGTGGAGACCTTATGCTATGTTTCCACTGAGGCGTTTTGAACAAATCTAGTTTATTTGTCCAAAACTAGTTGAAATCATGTAGATTTGCCATACATTTTTGACAAACCCATTTACACATACACGAAATCTAGTACTTATGAGATTTCGAGCCAAATCTACTTGATTTTAACTAGATTTCCCATACAAAACAAAATCTACTTCGTAACTAGATTTCGTTAAAATCTAATAGTTTTTAGTGATGCAACTCTGTTTTTTCCTAAATAATACTAAAAAATACGACACTACACAAGAAAAATATCCCATTTTTCCTTCTTATTTTTCATATCACACACTTTTTCAAGAAATATTAGAAAAAATGAAATCTTAAATGACAAGTAAGTGTAAACGGACTAGATTTGGAAAAAAATTTTAAATGAAATCTACTAGATTCCGTGTATGTGTAAATGGGGTATTAATCTACTAGATTTGATTTAAAACATGTCGAAAATGAATTTTTTCGAACAAGATTTGCTTATGCAACACTGCGTTCTGTCTAGGATAAGCAAATACGACCATAGGCTATCCATTCAAATTGAATGTTTTCATCGAAAAAGTGACGTATTATTTCAAAATAAAAAAGAACAAATAATAATTTTAAAATTGTTGGCAGTTAATAAATAAATTTATACAATTAAAACAGTAAGTTTGTATTTTTAATGTTTGAATTTAAAAAAAATTATTTTATTTTCGTTATATGACAGGATTTATTCGAAATTCGAATCTCAAAAACGTGTAAGCTCAGTTGAAGCCAAAAAGAAAAATTAAAAAATCTTCAAAACCAAAAATGTTATAATAGTTCAAAGTTAGGGAACATGCAGCAGGTAAAAATTGATTTTAATTTTCTGTAATAAACACGGCTTTCGGAGTACTGTTATTCTGTTTTGGGTCACATTTCTATACTTTTAAATACACTTACTATTTGGACAATTGTCTCTCATATTGAATTCAAAGGCTAAAAAGAATAAAAAAAAATTGAGTTTAGTCCCCCTAAATTAGCAGAATCCGACACTGTGCGACTACGAGAGAAATTCACTTCTAGTTTACTTTTACAGACTGACTATAAGTTAACTACAATATAATGCAGAGCTGTTCCGAAATTTTGTGTTTGGCAACGTAAATAACCGACTTTTGAAGACTAACTACAAGCTAACTTTTATGTAGGTAATGCAGAAGTGCCCCAAAATTATCTGGAGAGAATTTTATTTTAACATATTTTCTCTTGTTTCTCTATTATTATGAATTTTTTTGTTAACTTTAGTAGACTGATTATAAACGAACTACATTGTAATGGAGAAATGTTCAAACATTTGGTATTTGTTAACGTAAACAACCGACTTTTAAAGACTAGCTACAAGCTAACTATCATGTAATGCAGAAGTACCCCAAAATTATCTGGAGAGCATTTTGTTTCGACATGTTTCCTAACGTTTCCACGGTATCCTTAACAAGGTACTAGCACTTGAGAGCAACCGACCGATTGTCAATTTTTTTTTAATGGAGTTTGACAAACGTGCGTTTTAAGCCTGTATACAAGTCTATGTATAAACAAGTTAGAGTGATTAAATACCCTACACCTGTAAGCTTTTTGAAACCCATCTAAATAGTTTCAGAGTTTTAATAAATTGTGAAAATTTAAATTTTGCTTCCGTGATGGGGGTGCTATCATTTAGTATTTATTTAGTAGTTTATACACCTATGGAGTTAACATTGATCAAGTCTATAACTAGTTTATGTTATGGAAGATATCGCCAACCTGAACAAAATTTCGGTCCTAATTAACCAAAAATTCAAAATCGACTTTATTGTTGATTATAATGTATTGCATCAAAACAAATGTCCACACAAAAAATTGGACTCCTCCGACCAAAATTAGCGATTTTATTGACAGAAAACAAAAGGCCCTATAAAAATTCCAATTTATCCATTTTTATATACGCCATTGTCAACTATCATAACAACTGATAGGTTTCACTATTAAACAATTTGTTTATTTACAACAAATAAATCGCGTTGATAGAAACAAACTTTTCAATTTCAATAATTTTTTGCTTCTCCTGTAAAATTTTAGATAGGGCCGTTTGCGTTTTAGGTGACGATATATACTTGTATGTTAATGAAATATATGGGGTAAAGTGACTTAAGGAAATATATCTTATATGAGAGACTCATGTCAATTTTTGTTAATTAAATATGTGCGGATAAGTAATTTTCGGAAGTGGACCGTATATCGGAGACCAGACAAATTATGGGCACATCCAAAAAAAAAAATTAGGAGTGATTTGTATATATCAGAAATTTTAGTCCGGTATCTTTATTTATCAATGAAATATGCGATTTTTGGAAGTGGATCTTATATGAAAGCTATGACCAATTATGGACCGATCCGGAAAATATTTCTCAAGGTGGTTTTTATCTACTTTAAACACATTCATTACGAAATTTATCCCGATAACTTCATTCAGTAATGAAATATATCAGTTTAGATGGTTATCGTAAGTGGGCCATTATATGACCAATTAATGACCGACCCGGAAAAAATTTCGTGGATTCATATATTCGACGTATTTATGTCGAATATTATTTCAATATCTTTATTTTTTAATTAGTTATGTGCTTTTAATTGGTTTTCGGAAGTGGACCTTATATGGGAGCTGCGACCAAATATGGACCAATACAGATTTAATATTATTCCAATATCTTTTCTTAATTAGTTATGTAGATTAAAATGATTTTCGCAAGTGGATCTTATATAGGAGCTATGACCATTTATGGACCGATACAGATTTACGTCGGTAATATGATTTCTGCACATATTGTATACATATGTGCAAAATTTCGTGGTGATACCGATATTTTTGACGAAGTTATTAACAATAAACCAATTTTCGAGAAATTTCTATGGCAAATTTTGGACTGATTGATTTGAGTTTGAAAATAATTGATCCCTGGAAAAAATAAATAACGTGTGATAGAATCCATTGAAAAATCTTCGGTAGTTTCTGAGAAAACTACTCGAGAATTAGGAAAAAAACTTGGTTGATTTCCTTTGCTTAGTTTAAACGTGAGCGTGTTTTACACACACAGACAGACGGACGGGCATAACTAAATCGACACAGAATTTCATAATCTGTTCTTATGCTCCTGTTAAAGGACCTTAAAGTTTAAAGGACATACATTAATATCAACTGAAGCTGAGAACCTATGCTTCAAGATAATGTTATATATTTTAATTCACCTTAAAGAAAATTTGTTACAAAAAAATAGTTAAAAATTTTTGTTTCGAAAATGAGGCCTTTTTTAAATTTAATTTAATTTTAGATTTTTTGTCTGAGTCAAATAAATAATATGGATTGAATGTATAGATTCCCAGCTTTCATTTGATACCAATATTAGCATCATACAACATACATATATAAATATTTAAAATATTTGTTTGAAATTGTAAGTCCTTTAAACTTTGAAGTCCTTTTATAAGGGCATAAGAGCTGATTATAAAAATCGGAGTATGCAGAATTGCTCTAAATGGACCCTAGTTTTTATTCAAAATGGTTACAGGGTGTAATAAAATAAAAAATATAATATAGAATAGAAAAAAAACAATTCAAAATAAAATGGCTTATTGACAAGCTTTTAAGTATTATATAATTTGTTAAATTCAAACAAATGAGATTTTTTACAGTTTAGGTTTGAAATTTTATATGATCGATTTTTATCAAATTCACAAACCATTTTTCAAATACACAAACCACAGGGTGTATAAAATTTTAAATATGTATAACTTCAAATTTTCAAATTTAATTTCGATTTTTCAAATATAGTATTGCATTGTCATCAGGTGCCTTTATGTGTGCCAAATTTCAATTGAATCGGGCTACGGGAACTGGTCTAATTGGTACTTAAGATTAACTTTTGCAAAAATATGTAATGATTGTTCCATAATTAACATATTTATGT